CAGTGCAGTGTGTAGAGCACAGCTTCTAATTGGTGCCAGCTAGTTGAGGTGATTGTTTGTGTAACACTGCACTCAAACATGCATAGGTGTGGTCGTCGGGTCCTTACTTACTCAGCAAAGTACTGTAATTTCTTTAGTCAGACCACACACATGCACACCTCTCATACATTATGGCTGGTGTATGGGGATTGCAAAGCCCACATTACACATTCGAGTGGGACACACACACACGTGCACAGCTGTCATTTTGTGTGTTTGCATATGCTCATCTGTTTGTTGAGCAAAGCCCCAAATCAAATGTCGTATGTGTGTGTCTGCATGGTGTTTCAAAGGAACCTGAGTTCAGCTGGTGAGGAGGCCAGGAAACAGATGCGCACTTGTGAGGGCTTGATTGACTCACTGCTCTATGTCATCAAAGCCTGCGTAAACACCTCTGACTTCGACAGCAAGGTACGCACAAAGACACCCATCCACTGATGCACACACACACACACAAATACATTTAGCCAAGAGGGGGAACATGCTGCCACATGATAAGAGGGAAGAATCCTACTCATCCTGATTGAATCATTTGTTTCCTTGTGCCTAAATGACCCTCAGCTGCCAGAAGCAACTGTTTCATGTGCTTTGTCATCCAAAGCACAACTCATCTTTTTGCATTCTGATTGGCCGGGCTGCAACAGTGGTTGCTCATATTACTAATGGCCATAGTTAGAACCACATAAGCTTAGGCTTCAGAATACTTTAAATGTTCTGTTTCACACTCTTTTTCAAGTCTTGGATCTCTTTGATGTCATAAAGAGCAGATGTACTTAATGGGAGACACAGTCCTGGCTGTCTGAGGGAAAGACAGTCAGAGAAAAGTTGGCTATAAGCAAGGGAGGCATGAAAGCAAGAGGAGGCAGAATGACTTGTTTCAGACAGAGGTGGAATTGAGGGGCCGCACCAAAGCCCAGTATAGATGAATAAGGGTTATGCTGAGAGTTCAAGAATTAAAGATATAGAGCTGGAATGGCCATTATATATCCTTAACCTTTTTTATACAACTGGGTATTGCAAAAGCTCATTCATCTGTGAATTGTAAAGCCATAAAAAGTCAAGTGGACCATGTCTAATGTGAAGATCACCACTCTGGGAACTCGACCCTTAACCGTGTCCATCATTCATGCTCATTGTCATTCTGTAAGGCAAACCCATTACAAAACTCAAACAGCATGAAAATAAATTTGTGTGCTCTGGTTGACGAATTTTGTCTGCCTTGAGTTCCAAATCTAATTGATATCATTGTATTACTGCAAATAGAAGGTGCATGTCCCACACACTGGCTGCAGATACTGTAGGATGCTGCACAGAGTTGTAGCCTTTGTCATGGTGATTAAAAGAGCATCTACTATAACTACCTGTTCCACTGCCTTTCTTCTTGTACCTGCCAGATTGTGGAGAATTGTATTTGCACTCTAAGGAACCTGTCATATCGTCTGGAGCTGGAGATGACAGCACCCAGACTGATAGAGGGGCAGGAAGTGGATGGCTTACTGGCCAGAGAATCTCCCAGTAAAGAGGTGGATTCCAGCTGTTGGGGCAGAAAGAAAAAGAAGAAGAAAAACAGCCTTCAGGAAGACACAGTGAGTGTGGGACTGTATCTTTAAAATAGCAAGACATTTGGCAAAATATTTCTATTATCATGTATGATATACTGGAAAATGAGTGAAGACCACACAGAAAAGTTGCAATAGAGTCATTATATACCACAGCCTGACAAACACTTATATTCTGATTCAGTGGGACGGTGTGGGGCCCATACCTGGCTTCTCCAAGTCTCCCAAGGGTGCAGAAATGCTTTGGCATCCTTCGGTGGTTAAGCCTTACTTGACTCTGTTGGCTGAGAGTTCCAATCCTGCAACTCTGGAGGGAGCAGCCGGGTCTCTTCAGAACCTGTCAGCTGGCAACTGGAAGGTAAAGTACCTGTATTCACTTTTTATACACTCACTGATCACTTAACTTAACAGCTCAGCACGTCTGCATCGATCAAAGCTGACACCAGTTTTATTCTGGAACTCACACATGCTAAAACACACATCTTAAAACCAGACATTTTCCTGAGTAGGGCGTGGACCCTTCTCAAGTTTCACTGCTTTCTGTGTGCACAGTTTGCAGCATACATCCGTGCAGCAGTGCGAAAGGAGAAAGGACTGCCCATCCTGGTGGAGCTGCTTCGGATGGATAACGACAGGGTGGTGTGTTCAGTTGCCACTGCTCTGAGAAACATGGCACTGGATGTCAGGAACAAGGAGCTCATAGGTCAGGAGTCACACTGTCACACATTTTACACTATACACCAGCGGTCCCCAAC